TGTTTCCTTGCCCTTGGCCCTATGCTCTTCAGGGATAACTTTCAGCACTTCTGGTCGGTTACTCATCCACTTAGTAAGTGAAAACCCTCCTTTTGAGCATAGACTGCTTAGCTCATGGTACAGTGATAACGCCTCCTTCTCTGTGGCCATCGACACCAGGCAATCATCTACATAAAAACTGTCATGTAGCCTCTGTACAGCTTCCTTACTATAGCGATGCCCAAAGTCTTCCGCACACCTTCTCAGGGCATAGTTTGCGCAGCTGGGCGATGATATGGCCCCAAACAAATGCACCCTCATGCGATACTCAGCAGGGGATAGTGTAAAGTCCCCACCAGGCCACCAGAGAAACCGGAGAAAGTTTGTGTCTTCAGGGGCAACATGTACCTGATAAAACATGGCCTCGATATCTGCCGTCAGGACCACCGGCTCCCTCCTGAATCGCGTCACTACTCCGATAAGAGAGCTAGTGAGGTCAGGGCCTTGTAAGAGTTCAGTGTTTAAAGATGCACCCTTGTAATTTGCTCCACAATCAAACACCACTCTTATTTTCTTCTTGGTGGGGTGATAGACACCATGGTGCGGGATGTACCACACTTTTCCTTTCTCGCAATGAATCTGTTCTGCCGGTACTTTCTCGGCATACTGCTTTTCCAGTAACGCCTCCATAAACGCATTGTACTCTGTGTAAAAGTTATGATCCTTTTGCATCCTCCCTTTTAGATTGTTTAAGCGTTGTTCGACCACCTTGCGGTTATTTGGCATACTGATGTTTCTTTGCCTCAGGGGTAAGCTTATCTGATAGTGGCCATCCACTTGCTTTACAGAAGTTGTCACAGACTCCAGAAACTTGTAATCCTCTCGAGACATGGCTGGGAGCTCTTCTCTCTGCACTCTCTGGGAAATCATTTTTGTACTGTTGCTGCCATAACTCCTCTAAGTTCACAACAGAGACTCTGTTCACCATTACTTTTGGCCGACCCGACTCAATGGCCTCTTTGCTACCCTCTCCTAGCGGTCCATTTACCGTCCATCCCAGCAATGTCCTGGTAGCAAACGGTCCACCATTTATGCTACATATCACCTCTAATGGTTCCAGGGCCTTCGGTACATTGGTCCCAATAAGAAGCTCTATTCCTGCGTCAATACTGGGTAAATGGACGTGCTTCAAGTGTGGCCATTTCTTGATATCCTGTTGTGTAGGGATGTTTTCCTTGTAAACTGGCATGGACTCTTGAGTGTATGCTCTTGGCAGCTCCAAAAATATGTCTCCATGTAGCGCAGCAACCTCCAATCCAGACACAATGTTGCTACTCACAACCTTCTCCTGCCCCATAGTCCGAAGAAGAATGTTTCCTTTCCTTCCCGTCAGATTCAACTTGTTCTTCAATGATTCTGTGCAAAATACAGCTGTGCTCCCCTGATCCAGAAAAGCGTATGTGGTCACAACTTTATTTCCCTTTTGTGACTTCACCATTACTGGGACGATTGGGAGTTTACAGTCTTGGTCGCCAGCCCCTGTAAGGCCACTTGAAACTAGAGTTTTGCCCACATGAAGCCCTTTGCTCCCCTCAGCTGGGTCTGCACCACGCTCTTTGTGGAGAATAGTTGGATGCTTTAGGTTACACTTGGTGCAGGAAATCCTTTGGCGACAGTATTTGCTTATATGTCCTTTACATAAGCAGCTGTAGCAAATGCCATTTTCCCTGAGGAATCCTATCTTCATTTCATGCACCATCCTTCCCAATTGCGTGCACGTGTCCAGTGAATGTCCTGCTCCACAATAGAGACAACATATTCTTTCTGGTGCTTTAGCTTCTTTCTCTTTATGCACAGACTGAGATCTATGCTCCATGGGACATAGTGTGGTGGCAAAGCTGGCACCCTTTTGACGGGATTGAAACTTTGTATTGTTTGTTCCCCTATTCATTGGTGGGGGTTCATGTATACAGCCAAAGACGGGATCTGTCAGTATTTTTACTTGTTTTTCTGTAAAGTCTGCTATATCACTGAACTTAGCCCTTCTTTGTAATCGTTCTTGAAGGTCACAGACCTGACCTCTCCACTTGTCTTTGAGTTTGTATGGGAGCTTGCTTATAATGTTCAACATATTTGAAGGCATGTCCAAATCATGCAAATATTGAACTTCCTCCATCATATTGCAGCAGGATCGGAGCAATAAACTGTAATCCTGCAACGCTGTCACATCATCTGGCTTGATATTGGGCCATGACAGGACCCTGTTCATATAAGCTGCGGCAACCTTTTGCTCGTTTCCAAAATGCTCCTTTAATAAAACCTTTGCCTTTGCATATCCATAGTCAGGGTTCAGATGTTGACAGCTTCTTACTAGTTCTCTGGCATGTCCATGTGTGTGTTGTTCCATAAAGTATAAACGGTCAGAGTTGTTACTTGTGTTTCTTTCCACTCCGTTCTCAAACGCTTTAATGAAAGTGTGATACTTTAATGGATCACCATCAAATGTTGGTATTTCTCGCTTTGGTAAGGATGAAAGACTTTGTTGCTGTATTAACAGAGATGTTATTTCACTTTGCCTTTTCATGATCCCCAGAACCTCATCTTTATTATTGATTTCATGGCTGTTTGTGATGATGGTGGGATTGATTGATTGTTGCAACGCATTATGATTTGAGGACTGTGAGATTCCCATTGCATCTCTCACGACATACTGTTCAGTCTTTCTTGGTGCTCTTTGGTTTTGTGTGGATGGAATGAACTCTCTTGCGTTGATATTAAATGATTTATTCTTCTCTTTTTCAAGGTATGAATTCATTCCATTTGAAATCTTTGAATTTGTGCTTCTTGATTTCAATATATTTAGTTTGGCCACTTTTTCTGCAATCTCAGTTCCAAGCTGCAACTTCTCCTTCCTTTTACGCAGTTGTTCCTCCTCGTCCTCTAATGCGTGCCTTTCCTCCAATAAGTGTTGCCGTGTAGTCAGCGCTGCCAACTCTGCTTCCGCGTTCAAACATACAGAGGAGGTGACGGAGCGCCGTGAGCGCGCTGAAGTGGTCGAGCGCTGAGAGCGCGCGCCTCCGCGGGAGCCTGCATTTGAAGCGCTGTCTGCAGGCTTTACGTCAAATTCCTGAAGATCATAGTTTGGAAATTGTTCCCTCTCGTCTCCCAATAATACATGTTCAGGAACATCATCTGGCTCACCTTGTTCAATATCATTGATCCATTTTTCCGTGTAATCTTTAAATGATTCGCTGTATTGCTTAATGCCTGAGAACCATTCCTTTTGTTTCACTGTTTCATCCCTTGGGAGTAATGGTAATACAGCGTTGTGGGCAGCAGATGCATTATCACACATTTTATTGAGTGCTCCGAGAGACTCCTTTATTTGAGACACGTTTTGTTTCCGTTTCATGAGTTCCTTCATTTCTGGTATCATACCTTTCATTTTATTGACAAACACTTTACGTTCGCGTTGAAGCTTTTCAACTTTATTTAACAAAGCCTTTTCCGTGAGTCTGCGTTCCCTCTTTTCACACTCGGTTTCAGGGCAAGAAGGCGCACCATTTGTTTTGCTCATTATTCCTTTTGATTTAAATGCCTCCTCAGTGTAAACATACACAGCATTTCCATTCAACACAGCATTTTTATTGAAATTCCATCACAACATCGCATCCTTCTTAAAATTGCATTGCATACATGATACATTACATAAGCTTCAATACTGCGGAGCAACTTTACGCAGGGATATCCCATTCCATTAATTCATCTTTATGTTCCTTTATTCCCACACACATTGAATTAGGGATTCCGAATCCACGTCCAATTGCCACGGGTGGCTTACCTTGCCTCCTGTATCCTGTGCAGTGATTGATGGCTCATTGGTAACGTCCGCTGCGCTGCACTTACTTGGCGTCTTCCTGATTCCGCATGCAGTATTGCGATTGATGGATTTCAAACATGCCTTTCTTTGTTGACTAATGTAACGACTGTTATCCTGTGTCGCTGGAGAACGAGGGGAACGGGTCCTGTACCTTTATGACGCGCTGCTAATGTGGATGAAGAACGCTACTCGTAACTGCGTTTTTTTAAGTGGCATTTAATCATCAGCTTTGAGGATTTAACACATAACACATTGGCCATACGTGTACGTGTACAAAACTTAACAAAAACAAACGGTCAACAAAGAAATACGGCTACCCAGATCCCTACGACTTCTCACCTGAACGCTGGTGTCTGCCATATTTAAAGTTCCCGGCATATCCCCAGAGCTCACGTGACTCACGCACCTCCCCTGACGTTACCATAGCAACCCCACACATTATGGCTCTCACACTCGTATTAAAGCTCACATTAAAGTTATAATGCATCGGTTTTTTTTATATAGCGCTTTTTTGGACACTCAAAGACGCTTCACATGTGTCATTATTCATTCACTCCATACACGGTGGTGATAAACTACTACTGTAGCCACAGCTGCCCTGGGGCACACTGACAGAAGCGAGGCAACCAGTATGCGCCATCGGCCCCTCCCACCACCACCAACCATTCACACACACCAGACTCATTCTAGGCAATGGGGGTGAAGTGTCTTGCCTAAGGACACAACGGCAGTTTGGCACTTTACAGCCGCAGCCGCCCCACTGTGGCTGGTGTTCCCAGAGGTTAAGTGTCTTGCCAAGGACACAACGACAGTAGTCAGTGGGAGTCGATGGTGAAAGTCTTGAGCGGGGCTTGAACCCACGACCTTCTGGCTCAAAGGCCAACGCTCTACCAACTGAGCTCTGCCGCCTCAATCACTGTATCACTGTATCACTGTAAAGTTCACATTAAAGCTCGGGGACCTGACTTTGTTTGACAGAAAATCTATTGTACATTTAATGTATTTTTCAAATCAAACAAGCAGCTTTCCAGCAGGACACAAGTCTCTTTTTCCTAGTCTCAGTTCTCTCTGGTGTCCAGCGAGGTCCGGGCCTTGGTCTGGGAGGTCTGGGAGGTCTCTGACGGTCTGGGTCTTGGTCTCCTCACCAGCTCACGTCGATGTTCACGTCTGCCAGACACTGGGCCAGGTGACCGTCCCTCTGCAGCTGAGAGAAACTGAGGGAGAGAGAGGAGAGAGAGAGAGGAGAGAGAGGAGAGAGAGGAGAGAGAGAGGGGAGAGAAAGTTAGACCTGGGGCAGAAATGTGTCCAAGAAGATGTTCTGGTCCTTGAGGCTACAGCGATAGCCGGCGTTAGCTCAGTGTGAATGAGGCTACAGTGATAGCCGGCGTTAGCTCAGTGTGAATGAGGCTACAGCGATAGCCGCCGTTAGCTCAGTGTGAATGAGGCTACAGTGATAGCCGGCGTTAGCTCAGTGTGAATGAGGCTACAGCGATAGCCGGCGTTAGCTCAGTGTGAATGAGGCTACAGCGATAGCCGGCGTTAGCTCAGTGTGAATGAGGCTACAGCGATAGCCGGCGTTAGCTCAGTGTGAATGAGGCTACAGCGATAGCCGGCGTTAGCTCAGTGTGAATGAGGCTACAGCGATAGCCGCCGTTAGCTCAGTGTGAATGAGGCTACAGCGATAGCCGGCGTTAGCTCAGTGTGAATGAGGCTACAGCGATAGCCGGCGTTAGCTCAGTGTGAATGAGGCTACAGCGATAGCCGGCGTTAGCTCAGTGTGAATGAGGCTACAGCGATAGCCGCCGTTAGCTCAGTGTGAATGAGGCTACAGCGATAGCCGGCGTTAGCTCAGTGTGAATGAGGCTACAGCGATAGCCGGCGTTAGCTCAGTGTGAATGAGGCTACAGCGATAGCCGGCGTTAGCTCAGTGTGAATGAGGCTACAGCGATAGCCGCCGTTAGCTCAGTGTGAATGAGGCTACAGCGATAGCCGCCGTTAGCGATAGCCGCCGTTAGCGATAGCCGCCGTTAGCTCAGTGTGAATGAGGCTACAGCGATAGCCGACGTTAGCTCAGTGTGAATGAGGCTACAGCGATAGCCGACGTTAGCTCAGTGTGAATGAGGCTACAGCGATAGCCGACGTTAGCTCAGTGTGAATGAGGCTACAGCGATAGCCGACGTTAGCTCAGTGTGAATGAGGCTACAGCGATAGCCGCCGTTAGCTCAGTGTGAATGAGGCTACAGCGATAGCCGACGTTAGCTCAGTGTGAATGAGGCTACAGCGATAGCCGACGTTAGCTCAGTGTGAATGAGGCTACAGCGATAGCCGCCGTTAGCTCAGTGTGAATGAGGCTACAGCGATAGCCGCCGTTAGCTCAGTGTGAATGAGGCTACAGCGATAGCCGGCGTTAGCTCAGTGTGAATGAGGCTACAGCAATAGCCGACGTTAGCTCAGTGTGAATGAGGCTACAGCGATAGCCGACGTTAGCTCAGTGTGAATGAGGCTACAGCGATAGCCGACGTTAGCTCAGTGTGAATGAGGCTACAGCGATAGCCGGCGTTAGCTCAGTGTGAATGAGGCTACAGCGATAGCCGACGTTAGCGATAGCCGCCGTTAGCTCAGTGTGAATGAGGCTACAGCGATAGCCGACGTTAGCTCAGTGTGAATGAGGCTACAGCGATAGCCGGCGTTAGCTCAGTGTGAATGAGGCTACAGCGATAGCCGACGTTAGCGATAGCCGCCGTTAGCTCAGTGTGAATGAGGCTACAGCGATAGCCGACGTTAGCGATAGCCGCCGTTAGCTCAGTGTGAATGAGGCTACAGTGATAGCCGGCGTTAGCTCAGTGTGAATGAGGCTACAGCGTTAGCCGGCGTTAGCTCAGTGTGAATGAGGCTACAGCGATAGCCGCCGTTAGCTCAGTGTGAATGAGGCTACAGCGATAGCCGCCGTTAGCTCAGTGTGAATGAGGCTACAGCGATAGCCGCCGTTAGCTCAGTGTGAATGAGGCTACAGCGATAGCCGCCGTTAGCTCAGTGTGAATGAGGCTACAGCGATAGCCGGCGTTAGCTCAGTGTGAATGAGGCTACAGCGATAGCCGGCGTTAGCTCAGTGTGAATGAGGCTACAGCGATAGCCGCCGTTAGCTCAGTGTGAATGAGGCTACAGCGATAGCCGCCGTTAGCTCAGTGTGAATGAGGCTACAGCGATAGCCGACGTTAGCTCAGTGTGAATGAGGCTACAGCGATAGCCGGCGTTAGCTCAGTGTGAATGAGGCTACAGCGATAGCCGGCGTTAGCTCAGTGTGAATGAGGCTACAGCGATAGCCGCCGTTAGCTCAGTGTGAATGAGGCTACAGCGATAGCCGCCGTTAGCTCAGTGTGAATGAGGCTACAGCGATAGCTGCCGTTAGCTCAGTGTGAATGAGGCTACAGCGATAGCCGCCGTTAGCTCAGTGTGAATGAGGCTACAGCGATAGCCGGCGTTAGCTCAGTGTGAATGAGGCTACAGCGATAGCCGGCGTTAGCTCAGTGTGAATGAGGCTACAGCGATAGCCGCCGTTAGCTCAGTGTGAATGAGGCTACAGCGATAGCCGGCGTTAGCTCAGTGTGAATGAGGCTACAGCGATAGCCGCCGTTAGCTCAGTGTGAATGAGGCTACAGCGATAGCCGCCGTTAGCTCAGTGTGAATGAGGCTACAGCGATAGCCGCCGTTAGCTCAGTGTGAATGAGGCTACAGCGATAGCCGACGTTAGCTCAGTGTGAATGAGGCTACAGCGATAGCCGCCGTTAGCTCAGTGTGAATGAGGCTACAGCGATAGCTGCCGTTAGCTCAGTGTGAATGAGGCTACAGCGATAGCCGCCGTTAGCTCAGTGTGAATGAGGCTACAGCGATAGCCGACGTTAGCTCAGTGTGAATGAGGCTACAGCGATAGCCGACGTTAGCTCAGTGTGAATGAGGCTACAGCGATAGCTGCCGTTAGCTCAGTGTGAATGAGGCTACAGCGATAGCCGCCGTTAGCTCAGTGTGAATGAGGCTACAGCGATAGCCGCCGTTAGCTCAGTGTGAATGAGGCTACAGCGATAGCCGCCGTTAGCTCAGTGTGAATGAGGCTACAGCGATAGCTGCCGTTAGCTCAGTGTGAATGAGGCTACAGCGATAGCCGCCGTTAGCTCAGTGTGAATGAGGCTACAGCGATAGCCGCCGTTAGCTCAGTGTGAATGAGGCTACAGCGATAGCCGACGTTAGCTCAGTGTGAATGAGGCTACAGCGATAGCTGCCGTTAGCTCAGTGTGAATGAGGCTACAGCGATAGCCGCCGTTAGCTCAGTGTGAATGAGGCTACAGCGATAGCCGCCGTTAGCTCAGTGTGAATGAGGCTACAGCGATAGCCGCCGTTAGCTCAGTGTGAATGAGGCTACAGCGATAGCCGCCGTTAGCTCAGTGTGAATGAGGCGCAGAGACTGTTACCTTTGAGGGAATTCCATCAGACACATGGGACAGGTCTGCAGCAGCGTTACTGTCCCTCTACTGCCTCCTGGTCCGTCTGTGTGCTCCGAGAGAGGGACCCCCCGACTGTGAGGGGGCCGCGGTGAGGCCCAGGAGGGGGCCTCAGGAGAGGGACAGGGATGGTCTGGGGACAGGACCTGGACCGGAGACGGAACCCGGACCGGAGACGGGACCCGGACCGGAGACGGGACCCGGTCCGGAGACGGGACCCGGTCCGGAGACGGGACCCGGTCCGGAGACGGGACCCGGTCCGGAGACGGGACCTGGTTTGGAAAGGGGGGGACCTCGTGGTGGTGAAGGCCCCAGTCTGGAGCAGCTGGAGCAGGAGGTCTCTGCAACAAGAGTTGTACATATTAGTAAAAACTGGCCAGCGTGTTAGCGCGTTAGCATTGAGTTAGCGTGTTAGCCTTGAGTTAGCGTGTTAGCATTGAGTTAGCGTGTTAGCATTGAGTTAGCGTGTTAGCATTGAGTTAGCGTGTTAGCATTGAGTTAGCGTGTTAGCCTTGAGTTAGCGTGTTAGCCTTGAGTTAGCGTGTTAGCATTGAGTTAGCGTGTTAGCATTGAGTTAGCGTGTTAGCATTGAGTTAGCGTGTTAGCATTGAGTTAGCGTGTTAGCATTGAGTTAGCGTGTTAGCATTGAGTTAGCGTGTTAGCATTGAGTTAGCGTGTTAGCATTGAGTTAGCGTGTTAGCATTGAGTTAGCGTGTTAGCATTGAGTTAGCCTGTTAGCATTGAGTTAGCCTGTTAGCATTGAGTTAGCCTGTTAGCATTGAGTTAGCCTGTTAGCATTGAGTTAGCCTGTTAGCATTGAGTTAGCCTGTTAGCATTGAGTTAGCCTGTTAGCATTGAGTTAGCCTGTTAGCATTGAGTTAGCCTGTTAGCATTGAGTTAGCCTGTTAGCATTGAGTTAGCGTGTTAGCATTGTCCATCTGTATACAGTGTATGGTCAGGCTGCAGGTTCACAGTGTGTCGCTCACAGCAGCAGAGGGAGGAGGCAGCTCCGGTACCAGAGGTGAGGACTCCTGTAGAACCCAGTCCAGGACCAAAGACCAGGGACCGGAACCAGGGGAGGGTCTGGAGACAGGACCAGAACCAGGGGAGGGTCTGGAGACAGGACCAGAACCAGAACCAGGGGAAGGTCTGGAGACAGGACCAGGTCCAGGGTCAGAGCTACAGAGGAACAATATTGATTAAGTTTAACCAGACTGAAGAGAGTGTTATTGTGGGTCTCCCTCTGGTCTCCCTCTGGTCTCCCTCTGGTCTCCCTCTGGTCTCCCTCTGGTCTCCCTCTGGTCTCCCTCTGGTCTCCTTACCTCAGACTTGAGTCCTCTGTGTTCTGCCTCTTTCTCTTCAGTCTCAGTTTGGGGTTCAGCATGATCCTGACAGTATAAATGTACTCGAGTAAAGGTTAAAGTAGTCTCTGGTCTCATCATCAACAACAGACTCAACATTCTGTCTTCGTCTGATTATAAAACCATTCTGTGTCAGACCGAGCCCTGGGAGTCTCTATCTGACTCTTTAGGCTGAGAGCTGATTGGCTGAGAGAGGGACCAGAGAGAGTCCAGAGAGAGACCAGAGAGAGTCCAGAGAGAGACCAGAGAGAGACCAGAGAGAGACCAGAGAGAGACCAAAGAGACGAGAGACACCAGAGAGAAAAGAGAGAGACCAGAGAGAGACCAGAGAGAGACCAGAGAGAGACCAGAGAGAGAGACCAGAGAGAGAGACCAGAGAGAGAGACCAGAGAGAGAGACCAGAGAGAGACCAGAGAGAGACCAGAGAGAGACCAGAGAGAGAGACCAGAGAGAGAGACCAGAGAGAGAGACCAGAGAGACCAGAAAGAGAGAGAGACCAGAGAGAGACCAGAGAGAGACCAGAGAGAGAGACCAGAGAGAGACCAGAGAGAGACCAGAGAGAGACCAGAGAGAGAGACCAGAGAGGGACCAGAGAGAGTCCAGAGAGAGACCAGAGAGAGACCAGAGAGAGACCAGAGAGAGAGACCAGAGAGAGAGAGACAGAGAGAGAGAGAGAGAGAGACCAGAGAGAGACCAGAGAGAGACCAGAGAGAGACCAGAGAGAGACCAGAGAGAGACCAGAGAGAGAGACCAGAGAGAGAGACCAGAGAGAGAGACCAGAGAGAGAGACCAGAGAGAGACCAGAGAGAGACCAGAGAGACCAGAGAGAGACCAGAGAGAGACCAGAGAGAGAGACCAGAGAGAGAGACCAGAGAGACCAGAGAGAGAGACCAGAGAGAGAGAGACCAGAGAGAGAGACCAGAGAGAGACCAGAGAGAGAGACCAGAGAGACCAGAGAGAGACCAGAGAGAGACCAGAGAGAGAGACCAGAGAGAGAGACCAGAGAGAGAGACCAGAGAGAGACCAGAGAGAGAGACCAGAGAGACCAGAGAGAGAGACCAGAGAGAGAGACCAGAGAGAGAGACCAGAGAGAGAGACCAGAGAGAGAGACCAGAGAGAGACCAGAGAGACCAGAAAGAGAGAGAGACCAGAGAGACTAGAGAGACCAGAGAGAGAGACCAGAGAGAGAGAGAGAGAGAGAGAGAGACTTAGAGAGAGGCCAGAGAGAGAGAGACCAGAGAGAGACCAGAAAGAGAGAGAGACCAGAGAGACCAGAGAGAGACCAGAGAGAGAGACCAGAGAGAGAGACCAGAGAGAGAGAGAGAGAGACCAGAGAGAGAGAGAGAGACTAGAGAGACCAGAGAGAGAGACCAGAGAGAGAGAGAGAGAGACCAGAGAGAGAGAGACCAGTGAGACACCAGGGAGAGAGACTAGAGAGAGCCCAGAGATAGACCAGAGACAGACCATACATGTGAAAACTAGTGACTGAGCAAACTGTTTTAGAGCCAGGAAGTGGAGATATAGGTTTATTACAGAGTTACTACTATTGCTGAGGTCGGAAAGTTACGTACCCCAGCTTTAGCCTGTTAGCTCCTGTTAGCTCCTGTTAGCCGCTATCCTCAGTCCGTGTCCAAACACCATAAACACAGAATAAACAGATCCATCACAGACACATGCTTCTCACTTCGCGGATCTTTTCAAACCGCACTTCCGCATTCCGCTGTCAGTGTCACGTGCCTGGATCAGAGAGACTAGAGTGCGCGCGCATGTGCTTCTGTGGCGGCCATGTTGTGTTTACAAAGCTGTGGACATGTGACATCAACACACAGGTCAAGACACAGCTGAAACTTGCTTCCTAGTGTCTATGGTAAGTGTCTCTCTCTGGTCTCTCTCTGGTCTCTCCCTGGTCTCTCCCTGGTCTCTCCCTGGTCTCCCTCTGGTCTCCCTCTGGTCTCTCTCTGGTCTCTCCCTGGTCCCTCTCTGGTCTCTCTCTGGTCCCTCTCTGGTCTCTCTCTCTGGTCTCTCCCTGGTCTCTCCCTGGTCTCCCTCTGGTCTCTCTCTGGTCTCTCCCTGGTCTCCCTCTGGTCTCTCCCTGGTCTCTCCCTGGTCTCCCTCTGGTCTCTCCCTGGTCTCCCTCTGGTCTCCCTCTGGTCTCTCTCTGGCCTCTCTCTGGTCTCTCTCTGGTCTCTCTCTGGTCTCTCTCTGGTCCCTCTCTGGTCTCTCCCTGGTCTCCCTCTGGTCTCCCTCTGGTCTCTCTCTGGCCTCTCTCTGGTCCCTCTCTGGTCTCTCTCTGGTCTCTCTCTGGTCTCTCTCTGGTCTCTCTCTGGTCTCTCTCTGGTCTCCCTCTGGTCTCTCTCTGGTCTTTCTCTGGTTAGCTGTAGCTTTCAGATCAACAATAATACTCGCTCCTGAAAACAGTTTGTTTTTAGACTAAACATTGATCTGTTGTAATAACTGGAAACCTTTGAGGTCTGCTTTGGTTCAGAGAGGACTCTGTGCGCGCGGCTCTGTGTGTGCAGCTCCACAGAGGGGGCGGGTCCTGCAGAGATCCCCCCTCCCCCCCATCCCTCTCTCTCTCTCTCTCTCTCCCCATCCCTCTCTCTCTCTCTCTCTCTCTCTCTCACATTCCTCCTTCCTCTCAGACACACACGCGCGCGCACACACTGAGCGCGTGCGTGAGGAGCACACTGGGGCGGACGCTCAGAGCAGCTCAGAGAGAGGAGCCGAGAGGACCGGACTGTACACCGGGACTCTACCGGGACCAGAGGACCGGGACTCTACCAAGAGAATACCAGGACTACACCAGGAGTATACCAGGAAAATACCAGGACTACACCAGGAGTATACCAGGAATATACCAGGAGTATATCAGAACCAGAAGACTCTTCGGCGGGACCAGAGGACTTAACCGGGACCAGGGGAGTCTATATTTGAACCAGAAGACCGGGACTCTACCGGGACTCGACACCGGGACCAGAGGAGTCTGCAGCGGACACTTCCACAGCGAGCTCCCGGGACACACGGGACTCTCTCGGGTTACTCTTGTGGATTTACCCCGGGGCAGGAGCGGCTAATGTGGGGGCACTGGCCCCGTTCACACCGGGACAGTCGTGGAGACCGCTGATCGCTCACATGACCGATGCTGGAGTGTAGTGAGTCCTAAGTCCCCGGAGCCCGGGCCGTAGGGTCTGAAACATGGAGACCGTGCAGCGGCAGGGCTTCCAGCCGCACCCGGGCCTGCAGCAGACCCTCAGACAGTTCCACCTGAGTTCCATGAGCTCCCTGGGGGGCCCCGCGCGCTGGCAGCACGAGCTGCTGTTCCAGAAGGAGGGCAAAGAGCCGGAGCTGCAGCTGCACCTCCCGGGCCCGGTGCTCCCGGGGCCGCTCCTGGTGCCCTCAGACTGGTCCACGGAGCGCTGCGAGACGCTGCTGGAGGCGGAGAGCATCTCGTGCTTCGTGGTCGGCGGAGAGAAGCGGCTGTGCCTCCCGCAGATCCTCAACACGGTGCTGCGGGACTTCAGTCTGCAGGACATTAACGCGGTGTGCGACGAGTTGCACATCTACTGCTCCCGCTGCACCGCGGAGCAGCTGGAGATCCTGAAGGTGCTCCGGGTGCTGCCCTTCTCCGCGCCCTCATGCGGCCTCATCACGCAGACGGACTCCGAGCGTCTGTGCAGCGCGCTCATCTATGGAGGCGTGCTGCCGCCGGGAGCAGGGTTTCCTCCGTGCTCCGGGTTCCTGCCGCTGCAGCGCTCGGAGCTCAGCTTCGGGGTGTATCACGAGTGCTTCGGTCGGTGCAACGGGGAATTCGTACCGGAGCTGTACGTCAGTCCTGCCGCCCCCTGCGTGCAGTGTGCGGACTGTAGACTCATGTTCGCGCCCCGCAGGTTTGTGACCCACAGCCACGCGGCGCAGGAGAAGCGCACCGTGCACTGGGGCTTCGACTCCTCCAACTGGAGGAGCTACATACTCCTGGAGGAGCTGCAGGAGGAGCGGGGCATCAGGCAAAAGGAGGAGCAGAGCCTCAGACAGAAGGAGGAGCGGGAGCAGCTGGAGAGGAGGCTCGAGACCCAGAAACACAAGTTTGACTTCAGCAACAAGTACAAGAGAGAGAGACAGGTGAGTGTGAGTACCCGCGTGTGTACCTGTGTGTTTGTGTACCTGTGCTTGTACCTGTGTGTGTGTACCTGTGTGTGTACCTGTGTGTTTGTGTACCTGTGCGTGTACCTGTGTGTTTGTGTACCTGTGCGTGTACCTGTGTGTGAGTGTACTGGTGTGTGTACCTATGTGTTGCTGTGTGCAGAGTTGTGAGTATTGAGTTCCTAAAGTGCTTGTATCTGTATCGCAGTAATGTGGGACATTAAAAACTTATATTTAATAAATCTGCTCACATGGTATTAGTCTAGAAGTGTTGTCCTTTCTGGTAGAAGACGCATGTGTCCATGTGGATGTCTGCTGTCAACAGCAGCAGACATCAGTGGCAGCAGGTCACATGGGTCGTGGTGGATTCGAACCCATGACCATTAGGCCCAAAGACCAGTGCTCTACCAACTGTGCTACTGTCGCCCCATTTAGTTTATTTGATATATTTGGTGAAAGTAAGTTCAAAGAAACACAGTGAAGCTACAGAGACAGTAACACTGTAGCAACACATCTGTCTGAAGTATCACAGGGACTTTCTGAAGTCCCTTTATGTTTATATTGTTGATCGTTGGGTTTGCCAACATTTGAGGATCTCTCTCTGGTCTCTCTCTCTGGTCTCTCTCTCTGGTCTCTCTCTCTGGTCTCTCTCTCTGGTCTCTCTCTCTGGTCTCTCTCTGGTCTCTCTCTCTGGTCTCTCTCTCTGTTCTCTCTCTGGTCTCTCTCTCTGGTCTCTCTCTGGTCTCTCTCTGGTCTCTCTCTCTGGTCTCTCTCTGGTCTCTCTCTGGTCTCTCTCTCTGGTCTCTCTCTCTGGTCTCTCTCTGGTCTCTCTCTCTGGTCTCTCTCTCTGGTCTCTCTCTCTGGTCTCTCTCTCTGGCCCTTCTCTCTGGTCTCTCTCTGGTCTCTCTGCTCCTCCTCTTGTGATACCAGAACCATAAAACCATTATCTTCAGCTTTACTGTTATTGCGCCTCCTGCAGTAAAACTGTCAGACTCCGTGACCCAGTGAAACAACCAGGAAACATTAAAGCTGAGGTCTGTAACTTTAGTCTCATCAATAACATGAGGTTTGAACAGAATGAGTTTTACCTCAAAGAGAAACCAGAGAGAGACCGGAGAGAGGTCAGAGGGACCAGAGAGAGACCGGAGAGAGGTCAGAGGGACCAGAGAGAGACCGGAGAGAGGTCAGAGGGACCAGAGAGAGACCGGAGAGGGAACAGAGAGAGACCGGCAGGACCAGAGAGAGGCCGGAGAGGGACCAGAGAGAGACCGGAGAGAGACCGGAGAGAGGCCGGAGAGGGACCGGAGAGGGAACAGAGAGAGACCGGCAGGACCAGAGAGAGGCCAGAGAGGGACCAGAGAGAGACCGGAGGGACCAGAGAGGGACCAGAGAGACCGGAGAGAGACCAGAGAGAGACCAGAGAGAGTCCAGAGAGGGACTAGAGAACGACACTAGAAACAAGAGTTGGTGTGGTCTGAAAGTTACGTACCCCAGCTTTTAATGTGGACTCAGTGACAGTGTAGACTTTGGTCAGGGACCCCCCCCTCATCCCTCCCCCCTCCTCCCCCTCCTCCCCCTCCTCCCTCCTCCCTCTGTCCCATTTGCATGCACTGTCCCACGTGAATGGAGCTGATGAGGCAGTGTTAGAAAACATAATATGATGTCAACAAAGAGATGCATTCAGCTCCCCCTCCCCCCTCCTCACCCCCACCTCACCCCCCTCCCCCCTCCTCACCCCTTATGCATCATACAGAGACCACAGGGACAACACATCCTATTCCTATAGCCCTATCCCCACTGAGAGACACGAGCTGAGTGTGCGAGCAGCTCGGCCTCCAACCCGCCTTGCGACCCAAACACAGCTTTGGTCCAGACCCAGTGTCTCAGAGGGAGGAGGACAGGGTTTCTACTGACAGAGCCGAGGAGCTGGGTTTGGGGGAGTGAAGCTCTGGTCTCTCTCTCCGGTCACTCTCGCTGGTGTCTCTCTGGTCTCTCTGATCTCTCTGGTCTCTCTCTCTTGTTTCTCTCTGGTCTCTCGCTCTGGTCTCTCTCTCTCTCTCGTCTCTCTCTCTGGTTTCCTTCTGGTCTCTCTCTCTGGTCTCTCTCTCTCTGATCTCTCTCTCTCTGGTCTCTCTCTCTCTGGTCTCTCTCTATGGTCTCTCGCTCTGATCTCTGGCTCTAATCTCTCTGGTCTCTCGCTCTGATCTCTCTCTCTCTGGTCTCTCTCTCTCTCTCTCTGGTTTCCTTCTGGTCTATCCCTCTGGTCTCTCTCTGATCACGGTCTCTCTCTGGTCTCTCTCTATGGTCTCTCTCTGGTCTCTCTCTGGTCTCTCTCTGGTCTCTCTCTGGTCTCTCTCTCTGGTCTCTCTCTGGTCTCTCTCTGGTCTCTCTCTGGTCTCTCTCTCTCTGGTCTCTCTCTGGTCTCTCTCTGGTCTCTCTCTGGTCTCTCTCTGGTCTCTCTCTGGTCTCTCTCTCTGGTCTCTCTGGTCTCTCTCTGGTCTCTCTCTGGTCTCTCTCTGGTCTCTCTGGTCTCTCTCTGGTCTCTCTCTGGTCTCTCTCTGGTCTCTCTCTGGTCTCTCTCTGGTCTCTCTCTGGTCTCTCTCTGGTCTCTCTGGTCTCTCTCTGGTCTCTCTCTGGTCTCTCTCTGGTCTCTCTCTGGTCTCTCTCTGGTCTCTCTCTGGTCTCTCTCTGGTCTCTCTGGTCTCTCCCTCTGGTCTCTCTCTGGTCTCTCTCTGGTCTCTCTCTGGTCTCTCTGTGGTCTCTCTCTGGTCTCTCTGGTCTCTCCCTCTGGTCTCTCTCTGGTCTCTCTCTGGTCTCTCTCTGGTCTCTCTCTGGTCTCTCTCTGGTCTCTCTCTGGTCTCTCTCTGGTCTCTCTCTGGTCTCTCTCTGGTCTCTCTGTGGTCTCTCTCTGGTCTCTCTCTGGTCTCTCTCTGGTCTCTCTGTATTCTGTCTGGGTGTGCCACAGGTCTGTGTTGTGGACCATTGTTGTTCTGACAGTGAGGAGGCGGTTTGAAAACGTCTCACAGGAAACGCCGCTTCCCCCTCGGCGTCTGGCACAGAGCGCGGCGTGGGGGAGGGTGTGTGTGTCTGTGTGTGTGTGTGTGTGTGTGTGTGTCTGTGTCTGTGTGTGTGTCTGTGCGTGTGTGTGTGTCTGTGTGTGTGTCTGTGCGTGTGTGTTTGTGTGGGTGGCATGGTGTGTGCAGAGATTTACAGCCTCTTATTTACTGCCTCTATGAAAAACAGGAGAAAATGTCTCGGTCTCTCTCTGGTCTCTCTCTTTTCTCTCTGGTGTCTCTCGTCTCTTTGGTCTCTCTCTGGTCTCTCTCTCTGGTCTCTCTCTGGTCTCTCTCTCTGGTCTCTCTCTGGTCTCTCTCTGGTCTCTCTCTGGTCTCTCTCTGATCTCTCTCTCTGGTCTCTCTCTGGTCTCTCTCTGGTCTCTCCCTCTGGTCTCTCTCTGGTCTCTCTCTGGTCTCTCTCTAGTGTCTCTCTGGTCTCTCTCTCTGGTTTCTCTCTCTGGTCTCTCTCTGGTCTCTCTCTGGTCTCTCTCTGGTCTCTGGTCTCTCTCTCTGGTCTCTCTCTGGTCTCTCTCTCTGGTCTCTCTCTTTTCTCTCTGGTGTCTCTCGTCTCTTTGGTCTCTCTCTGGTCTCTCTCTCTGGTCTCTCTCTGGTCTCTCTCTCTGGTCTCTCTCTGGTCTCCCTCTGGTCTCTCTCTGGTCTCTCTCTGGTCTCTCTCTGGTCTCTCTCTCTGGTCTCTCTCTGGTCTCTCTCTGGTCTCTCCCTCTGGTCTCTCTGTGGTCTCTCTCTTTTCTCTCTGGTGTCTCTCGTCTCTTTGGTCTCTCTCTGGTCTCTCTCTGGTCTCTCTCTCTGGTCTCTCTCTGGTTTCTCTCTCTGGTCTCTCTCTGGTCTCTCTCTGGTCTCTCTCTGGTCTCTCCCTCTGGTCTCTCTCTGGTCTCTCTCTGGTCTCTCTCTGGTCTCTCTCTGGTCTCTCTCTAGTGTCTCTTTGGTCTCTCTCTCTGGTCTCTCTCTGGTCTCTCTCTGGTCTCTCTCTGGTCTCTCTCTGGTCTCTCTCTGGTTTCTCTCTCTGGTCTCTCTCTGGTCTCTCCCTCTGGTCTCTCTCTTTGGGTTCTCTCTGGTCTCTCTCTCTGGTCTCTCTCTGGTCTCTCTCTGGTCTCTCCCTCTGGTCTCCCTCTGGTCTCTCTCTGGTCTCTCTCTGGTCTCTCTCTCTGGTCTCTCTCTGGTCTCTCCCTCTGGTCTCTCCCTGGTCTCTCTCTGGTCTCTCTCTCTGGTCTCTCTCTGGTCTCTCTCTGGTCTCTCTCTGGTCTCTCTCTAGTGTCTCTCTGGTCTCTCTCTGGTCTCTCTCTGGTGTCTCTCTCTGGTCTCTCTCTGGTCTGTCTGGTGTCTCTCGTCTCTCTGGTCTCTCTCTCTGGTCTCTCTCTCTGGTCTCTCCCTCTGGTCTCCCTCTAGTCTCTCTCTGTGAGGGGTTTTACAGCTGCTACTGTGGGGATTTACATTATTGTGGGGGTTATTTTTAGAACACATTACCCTTGTCATAAACCAGTGACCAGTGAGGGACCAGGGACCAGTGAGGGACCAGGGACCAGTGAGGGACCAGGGACCAGTGAGGGGGAGGGGCCATGACTCAGGACACAGCTGATGACCCCCCATAGAGCAGGAGCAGTCACAACAATAGCCTCTCTCAGCCGGGAATAAACACACACACGATAAACATACACACACACACCTACACACACACACACAGACACACACACACACACATAGACACACACACACACACACATACACAATAATAATAAAAACAGACAAACAAATACATGCAGTGCCTTGCGAAAGTATTCGGCCCCCTTGAACCTTTCAACATTTCGCCACATTTCAGGCTTCAAACATAAAGATATAAAAATAAACATTTTTGTCATGAATCAACAACAAGTGGGACACAATCGTGAAGTGGAACGAAATGTATTGGATAATTTAAACTTTTTTAACAAATAAAAAACTGAAAAGTGGGGCGTGCAATATTATTCGGCCCCTTTACTTTCAGTGCAGCAAACTCAGTCCAGAAGTTCAGTGAGGATCTTTGAATGATCCAATGTTGTCCTAAATGACTGATGATGATAAATAGAATGCACCTGTGTGTAATCAAGTCTCCGTATAAATGCACCTGCTCTTTGATAGTCTCAGGGTTCTGTTTAAAGCACAGAGAGAAACCATGAAGACAAAGGAAACACACCAGGCAGGTCCGAGATACTGTTGTGGAGAAGTTTAAAGCCGGATTTGGATACAAAAAGATTTCCCAAGCTTTAAACATCTCAAGGAGCACTGTGCAAGCAATTATATTGAAATGGAAGGAGTATCAGACCACTGCAAATCTACCAAGCCCGGCCGTCCCTCCAAACTTTCATCTCAAACAAGGAGAAGACTGATCAGAGATGCAGCCAAGAGGCCCATGATCACTCTGGATGAACTGCAGAACCCTGAGTCTATCAAAGAGCAGGTGCATTCATACGGAGACATTGATTCATGACAAAAAATTAAATTGTTATATCTTTATGTTTGAAGAATGAAATGTGGCGAAATGTTGAAAGGTTCAAGGGGGCCAAATACTTTCGCAAGGCACTGTATTTTATTATGCCCTGAGCTCATTCTGGTCTCTCTCCTCCTCTCTCAGACCACACAGACCCTGCAGACACCGCTCAGACCCTGCAGACACCGCTCAGACCACAGACACCGCTCACACCACACAGACCAAGTTCATCAGAAAAGAGTTTTACAGTCGAGTTTACACAGTGGTGCTCGAGGAGTCCAGAGGAAGAGGAGTTTCTGACCTCAATGTGTGTCTGTGGTGTGTGTCTCTGTGTGTGTGTGTCTGTGGTGTGTGCGTGTGTGTGTGTATGTGTCTGTGGTGTGTGCGTGTGAGTGTGTCTCTGTGTGCGTGTGAGTGTGTGTCTGTGTGTGTGTGTTAGTTCAGGGCGGGGGCAGGGAGACAGCAGATGGAATTGGAAAATGCGTCTATTTCTCAGAGCTCATGCGAATCTTCTCCTAGAGCTGACATACAGACACGCAACACACAACAGGACCACACACCAGACACAGACACGCACACACACAGAGACACACACACACAGACACAGACACAGACACACACAGGACACAGAGACACAGACACAGACACGCACACACACAGAGACACACACACAGACACAGACACGCACACACACAGAGACACACACACACACACACACACACACACACAGAACACACACAGGACACAGAGACACAGACACACACACAGACACACACACACACACACACACAGACACACAGACACACACACACACATAGACACACAGACACAACAGGACACAGAGACACAGACACACACACAGACACACACACAACATACACACACACAACACACACACAGACACACACACACACACACACAGACACACACACACACACATAGACACACAGACACACACAGGACACAGAGACACACACACACACACAGACACACACACACACACACACACACACACACACACAGACACACACAGACACACACACACTAGGGATGCACCGATACCACTCTTTTCAAAACCGATACGAGTGAATTGTGTTTTCTGTGGTAATTTATAAACTAATACAAGTGAAATTTAAAATGTTTTATTCCTCGTTCAACAAATATGACAATGTTTGAATGTTAAAATTTTAGTTGATTGTTTAAACAGACAAACAATAAGAGCCACGGTCCACCTTCCACTCACACCAAATGCTGAGTTGGTGTAGTCTTGTTTTGGGTGTTGCCACACTCAGTTCTCAGCGTTAGAGGCTGTTTCTGGTGTAAAGCTTGTGTACCACTCGGTGCGGCAGCTGTTCCGTATGCGTTGGACTACGCAGCCACATGTTCTGGGTACGACCACGCGAGGGTTTGGTGATCCTTGGTTGCACAAGTGAACGTCACGTCACCACCGTAAGCACGCACAACTACACACCAGCCTTTTACACGACTACACACCAGGCTTTACACGACTACACACCAGGCTTTACACGACTACACACCAGGCTTTTACACGACTACACACCAGGCTTTACACGACTACACACCAGGCTTTACACGACTACACACCAGGCTTTACACGACTACACACCAGGCTTTACACGACTACACACCAGGCTTTACACGACTACACACCAGGCTTTACACGACTACACACCAGCTTTACACGACTACACACCAGGCTTTACATGACTACACACCAGGCTTTACACGACTACACACCAGGCTTTACACGACTACACACCAGGCTTTACACGACTAACACCAGGCTTTACACGACTACACACCAGGCTTTACATGACTACACACCAGGCTTTACACGACTACACACTAGGCTTTACATGACTACACACCAGGCGTTACACGACTACACACCAGGCTTTACACGACTACACACCAGGCTTTACCACGACTACACACCAGGCTTTACACGACTACACACCAGGCTTTACACGACTACACACCAGGCTTTACACGACTACACACCAGGCTTTACACGACTACACACCAGGCTTTACACGACTACACACCAGGCTTTACACGACTACACACCAGGCTTTACACGACTACACACCAGGCTTTACACGACTACACACCAGGCTTTACACGACTACACACCAGGCTTTACACGACTACACACTAGGCTTTACATGACTACACACCAGGCTTTACACGACTACACACCAGGCTTTACACGACTACACACCAGGCTTTACACGACTACACACCAGGCTTTACACGACTACACACCAGGCTTTACACGACTACACACCAGGCTTTACACGACTACACACCAGGCTTTACACGACTACACACCAGGCTTTACACGACTACACACCAGGCTTTACACGACTACACCCCCAGGCTTTACACGACTACACACCGGCTTTACACGACTACACACAGGCTTTACACGACTACACACCAGGCTTTACACGACTACACACCAGGCTTTACATGACTACACACCAGGCTTTACACGACTACACACTAGGCTTTACATGACTACACACCAGGCTTTACACGACTACACACCAGGCTTTACACGGACTACACACCAGGCTTTACACGACTACACACCAGGCTTTACACGACTACACACCAGGCTTTACACGACTACACACCAGGCTTTACACGACTACACACCAGGCTTTACATGACTACACACCAGGCTTTACACGACTACACACTAGGCTTTACATGACTACACACCAGGCTTTACACGACTACACACCAGGCTTTACACGACTACACACCAGGCTTTACACGACTACACACCAGGCTTTACACGACTACACACCAGGCTTTACACGACTAACACCAGGCTTTACACGGACTACACACCAGGCTTTACACGACTACACACCAGGCTTTACACGACTACACACCCAGGCTTTAAACGACTAACACACCAGGCTTTACACGACTACACACCAGGACACGACTACACACCAGGCTTTACACGACTACACACCAGGCTTTACACGACTACACACCAGGCTTTACACGACTACACACTAGGCTTTACATGACTACACACCAGGCTTTACACGACTACACACCAGGCTTTACACGACTACACACCAGGCTTTACACGACTACACACCAGGCTTTACACGACTACACAGCAGCTTTACACGATACAAACCAGGCTTTACACACTACACACCAGGCTTTACACGACTACACACCAGGCTTTACACGACTACACACCAGGCTTTACACGACTACACACCAGGCTTTACACGACTACACACCAGGCTTTACACGACTACACACCAGGCTTTACACGACTACACACCAGGCTTTACACGACTACCACACCAGGCTTTAACGACTACACACCAGGCTTTACACGACTACACACCAGGCTTTACTACACACCAGCTTTACACACCAGGCTTTACACGACTACACACCAGGCTTTACACGGACTACACACCAGGCTTTACACGACTACACACCAGGCTTTACACGGACTACACACCAGGCTTTACACGACTACACACCAGGCTTTACACGACTACACACCAGGCTTTACACGACTACACACCAGGCTTTACACGACTACACACCAGGCTTTACACGACTACACACCAGGCTTTAACGACTACACACCAGGCTTTACACGACTACACACCAGGCTTTACACGACTACACACCAGGCTTTACACGACTACACACCAGGCTTTACACGACTACACACCAGGCTTTACACGACTACACACCAGGCTTTACACGACTACACACCCAGCTTTACACTACTACCACACCAGGCTTTACACGACTACACACCAGGCTTTACACGACTACACACCAGGCTTTACACGACTACACACCAGGCTTTACACGACTACACACCAGGCTTTACACGACTACACACCAGGCTTTACACGTGTTTGTTTTGGACCTGATTTACACAACGTACAGTCCACTTTACTCTTGTCACTTGTTTTCTCAAAAAACTACATACGGCAGGACATCGAGGGAGAGTGAAGCAGATTTACATCCCTGCGCCCGCCGCGGGTAGGTGGGGAAGGAGGGGGGGGAGACAAGGAGCGCGCAAGGGGGCCACGGAACGAGAGGGGTGACCCGGCCTGGAAGCGGCGGAGGGGGGGGGCGGGGGATGTGGGAGAGGAAAGGGGCTCTGGGGGCGGGGGGGGGAGAGGGAGCTGTGGGGAATAAGGGGACTCGCAGGGTGCGTCGCGAGGAGCTGGGGCTGAGGCACTCGGAGGTGGGTGGAGGGGGGGTGGGGGGGGTGAGACCGCGGGGCGGGGCGGTGTGGCGTGGCGCGAGCGCGGGACCAGAAGGCCCGGCGGGGGGGGGAGAAGGAGGCGGCGGGCGGGTGGGAGGCGAAGTCGGCGAGGGGCGGGTCCGCATTCACACCAGGTGGATTCGTGGCGGTGGGAAGGGGGGGTTATGCCGAAAGGAGGCAGCTCCGGCCGGTGAGGGGTAGACGGAAGGGCGTGGCCGCGGCATGTGCAGGGGGGCGAGCGCCCAGGATGGAGGTCGGGGTCGGGGGGGGGGGCGGATCGCGCCGGGGGATGGAGAGGACGCTGGAGTGCCCCCCCCCCGCAAGGCGGCGGGTGCTTCGTGGGCACCGGGATGAAAAGCGGGTGTGGGCGGCGCAGATGGGGGGACAGGGTGGGGGGGATAGCCCGAGAGAGAGGGGATGGGGGACGCGTACGAGCTGTGGAGATGGGTTGGCTACGGGCGACGGGCCGCCGGCACGGGGGGTCCTCTCTCCTCTCTCTCTCCTCTCTCCTCTCTCTCTCTCTCTCTCTCTCCTCTCTCCTCTCTCCTCTCTCCTCCTCTCTCTCTCCTCTCCTCTCTCCTCATCTCTCCTCCTCTCCCTCCTCTCTCTCATCTCTCCTCCTCTCCTCTCCTCTCTCTCTCCTCATCTCTCCTCCTCTCCTCTCTCCTCCTCTCCTCTCTCTCTCCTCTCTCTCTCCTCTCTCCTCTCTCCTCCTCCTCCTCTCTCCTCCTCCCTCCTCTCTCCTCTCTCCTCCTCCCTCCTCTCTCCTCTCTCCTCCTCTCTCCTCTCTCCTCCTCTCTCTCTGTACATAATAAAGTGATGGATGCTCTCACTGATGGCAGCAGAAGTGCAGCGATGACCTCACAGTTCTAACGGCCGCTGAGGGACAGACACTCTGCTAATGTGCACTACACACCAGAGAGACCAGAGGGAGACCAGAGGGAGACCAGAGGGAGACCAGAGAGAGACCAGAGGGAGACCAGAGGGAGACCAGAGGGAGACCAGAGAGAGACCAGAGGGAGACCAGAGGGAGACCAGAGGGAGACCAGAGGGAGACCAGAGGGAGACCAGAGAGAGACCAGAGAGAGAGACCAGAGAGAGAGACCAGAGAGAGACCAGAGGGAGACCAGAGAGAGAGACCAGAGGGAGACCAGAGGGAGACCAGAGAGAGACCAGAGGGAGACCAGAGAGAGAGACCAGAGGGAGACCAGAGAGAGAGACCAGAGAGAGACCAGAGAGAGACCAGAGAGAGACCAGAGAGAGACCAGAGAGAGACCAGAGGGAGACCAGAGGGAGACCAGAGGGAGACCAGAGGGAGACCAGAGAGATTCCAGAGTGAGACCAGAGGGAGATCAGGTCTGAACAAGGTCTAAACCAGAGGAATTTTAAGTTCTTGGTGTGTATCTGTGTGTGTCTGAGTGTGTGTCTCTGAATATGTGTGTCTGTGTGTGTATCTGAGTGTGTCTGAGTGTGTATCTGAGTGTGTGTGTCTGTGTGTGTATATAAGTGTGTCTGTGTGTGTGTGTGTGTTTGTGTGTGTATATGAGTGTGTCTGTGTGTTTATCTCTGTGTGTGTCTGTGTGTGTGTGTCTCTGTGTGTATCTGTGTGTGTGTGTGTGTGTGTGTGTGTGTCTGTGTGTGTATATGAGTGTGTCTGTGTGTTTATCTCTGTGTGTGTGTGTGTGTGTGTGTGTGTGTGTGTGTGTGTGTGTCTGACGTCCTGTTTACTGCTCCACATTGACACAGTTCTGGTCAAAGTCCTGGTCTCTGGAACTCTTCACTGTTATAAACCTGTGACTCACTATTGGACTCTTTGGGCTGAGAGCTGATTGGCCGAGAGAGGGGGGTCCTCTCTTTGATGGAGGCCAGAACTGGACACACACTGGGGAGCTCAGAGTAGAGCTGCTGCTTCTCCACGTGGACAGGAGCCGGTCCACTTGTCCCACTGGGAGGAGACCAGGGCACATACACATGGGGGTGTGTGTGAGTGTGTGGGGGGGTCTCTCTCTGTGTGTGTCTGTGTGTGTATATGTATGTCTGTGTGTGTCTCTCTCTTTCTCTGTATGTATTTGGGTCTCTCTCTCTCTGTTTGTGTATCTGTATGTATATGTGTGTGTGTGTCTCTCTCTCTCTGTGTATCTGTGTGTATATGTGTGTGTCTCTCTCTCTCTGTGTATCTGTGTGTATATGTGTGTGTGTGTCTCTCTCTCTCTGTTTGTGTATCTGTGTGTATATATGTGTGGGTGTCTCTCTCTCTCTCTGTTTGTGTATCTGTGTGTGTATATGTGTGTGTATGTGTGTGTCTCTCTCTCTCTGTTTGTGTATCTGTGTGTATATGTGTGTGTGTGTCAGTGTGTCGTCTCTGGTGAAAGCTACAGTCTGAGTTCTGTGGGTCATGTTTCTTCAGGAGCAGTGAGGGTCAGCCAAGCGTCCAGACAGAGTGTGTGTCTGTGTGAGTGTGTGTGTCTGTGTGTCTGTGTGAGTACGTGTGTGTGTGTCTGTGTGAGTGTGTGTGTCTGTAATTAAAGCCTGTGACACGTTGTCAGAGTGACCACAGCTGTAATGAGGCTGTTCTTTTGTCTGCGCTCCATTATTTATCTTCTAATACTTTGTTCAACCACATTTGAAGCACAGAAACACCACTGATCGCTAACTTCATCAGACAGACAGAAGCAAACTTTATAGAGTCCCCACAAAGCACTGTTGACTGGATTGTGTGTATGTATGTATGTGTGTTAGTGTGTGTGTGTATCTGTGGGTTTGTGTGTTAGTGTGTGTGTGTGTGTGTCAGAGTGTTAGTATGTATGTTAGTGTGTGTGTATGTGTTACTGTGTGTGTGTTTATTTGTGTGTGTTAGTGTATGTGTGTGTTGGTGTATGTGTTAGTGTCTGTGTGTGTTTGTGTGTGTTAGTGTCTGTGTGTGTTTGTGTGTGTTAGTATCTGTGTGTGTTTGTGTGTGTGCGTTAGTGTGTGTGTGTGTCTCTGTGTGTGTGTGTTAGTGTGTAGTGTGTGTGTGTGTTTATTTGTGTGTGTTAGTGTCTGTGTGTGTGTGTTAGTGTATGTGTGTGTTAGTGTCTGTGTGTGTTTGTGTGTGTGTGTAAGTGTGTAGTGTGTGTTAGTGTCTGTGTGTGTGTGTGCGTGTGTGTGTGTGTGTGTTTATTTGTGTGTGTTAGTGTCTGTGTGTGTGTGTTAGTGTATGTGTGTGTTAGTGT